TTATACATGAGACTTTTGTAGGTCAGTACTCAGGAAGATCAGTAAACAGTCTGGTTCAACCATCAGCTTTATCTTTAACTAATATCTATAATCGTCATACAGATTTCAGTTTACAATTGTATAAGCTAATGTCCAGTCCAAATGCTGCCGTCACCTTTTGATCAGATCATCATATTCCAAACTTCACCTGAACTCCTCTTACAAGTAAGTATCCTGCATGAGGGAGGGGTTGTCGCAGAGGTGTTTACGTCTTCTTCAAGGTCACCACAACATGGAGGACGACTGGTTGTCAACAGGCTAAACCTTTAACCTTCTCATCCTGGGATGACTTCAGAATGTGCTCTCGCATTTTTTTTATCATAGTACCTTATAAGGTGATCAACCAGTTTTCTGCTGGAAACCCAAAGCCAAACATAGGCTTGTTATGGGAAAAGGCTTCTGGTTGCCACAATCCTTTATATCACAGAGGGCAAATCCCCGTTTTTCTAATCATTGCTGATCTTATTAGATGCTGCTGATTCTGAATGAGAAACAGTAAGGACTTGTTTTATTAATCTGTAAAGAAGTATGTTATGTTAAATTATGTCATTGCTTATCAAATTCTCTATTTTGATGGTAACAAAAAGGGACATGGCTGAGTGTTAGATAAAAGCTATAATTGTTTTTCACGTTGCATGTGACATGAATATGCTATTATTCCCCTCAGATGGCCTGAAACAGGGCCCAAGGAAAAAGGGAAAGTCCCGTAACTTGATGGATAAAAAACTATTATTTTCATTGTTGTAAATAAACCTTTATTTACATATTTTGTGATGACCATGACAACATAATATTATATGATAACTGGGGTCTCTTGTGAACAAGCAAAAATTCATGTCCCGGAGTCAGAGATGAACACAGCCAACATTTTGTTCGAGCTCACTGTCGTCTCTTCTTTAAGTCTGATAGAAACAAATGAAGGCAGAGCATCTTACTGCAGTCTCCAAAGAGAGTGATGCGGTCGCACAAGGAGCCATTAAGCTTTTCAAAAACAGACTTATACCTTCCTGCAAAGCTCACACTCAGCCTGTATACTCCCACATAGAGCAGGCTGCAGCAGTCTGAGCTCACAAAAACTCAGGGACATCAGATCATATGGAAAAATCACTGCCTGTGATTCCTGCCTCCACATACAACAGAGAAATAATGAATTAAAAGCAATCCTCATTGCTACTGAAGATGTTACCCTGCTGGCTGAGTTATGCAACAGAAAAACATTACATTCTGTACAAGTCAAATGTGAAGAGAATGAAGTAACTTTGATGAGTCCCAACACGACCAATAGAGCCTTTATACTTTCATCAACAGGAAAATGTCCGATACATATTTTTAGATTGCTATAATTTGGACCATGTGCTTTCAAAAATGCATTTGCATGACTTAATGCTCAGGAGCAGACAGTCATATGATCAAATCATGATGTCAAATATGTTGATATACTATGGTGAGGAAATCAACCATCCAGTAAAAATCTAAATTATCAACTCAGGACTCTGAAGGGTTAAAATTTAACATTATTATAACATCTAAGTATATATAATAACTGATATCACAGACATTTAAGGAAAAATCAGGACCTAAGACTTTTTAAGTGTAAGTTTATCAGGGCTGAAATATAAAAGTGTATTAAAGTAATACTTGCTATACAACCTGTGATATCCTGACTCTCTCAGTCACTGGACTTTTCCATTCTAATTTTAAGCCATTCTGCGTAGTTGTAGGAGAAATTTTCCTTTTCAATGAACAGGAGTCTGACTGTGGCAGCACACATTAGTCACAGTGTCTGAAAATAGCTTGTCGTTCAGATAGACAGTAGATAGTGTGGGCTGCAACACATCTCACACAGAAGACATCTCATTGTCTGGGGGATTTGATTTGAACTGCTCAGAAGATCCCGTTTGCTGCCTAGATTAGTCATGCCCCCAGACCATCTATTTTCTTGAAACTATCGTGATATCGGTGCAAAAACGATGGCTGTCACTGGCCAATTTTACTTTACTCTGGTGAGACAGAGTATATGATAGATTCATGATAAGAGGCCAGAGTGCAGATGATAAGGCAGACTGTGTTATAACACAGGCATGGTTGCTCTGTCAGTCTAACAGAGGATGGTATTTTTCACAGCCACATCCAATAACAGTGACAAACACAAAAAAAGTGATCAGTACAAGGCTGATCTTACATCTGGAGCCTCTTAAATTGGATCAAACAAATGTGTGAAAAAATCACATAAAGTTTCTGACAATAAACTAAAGTAAACTCAATTATACAGGTTTTTTGTGATGATTTGTGGTAAAATATAGTAAATTAATCCTATTCCTTCTTCTGTTGTACATGTTTATATGTATGAATATTTGTGTGTGTTTGTGTATATATGTATGTATGGATATTTGTGTGTGTGTGTGTGTATATACGTTTGCATTTGAAGTTACATACATGAAATACATACATATAAATATG